GGGCTTTTGATTAGGGGAACCCTTACATTTTTGTCCTGAATACGCTCCGTGAGTGTTTTTCGGGGAATCCAGTATTTTTCTAGTAAGATTGGATATCTCTACTTTCCATATATACCAAAATTGCCATACTTTTATTGGAAATAACCACCCGATAAATACTTTTCTGGGAACCCATCTTTAACAAAGCAACTTGGCGCTTTATTCCAGCGAGAAGAAAGTCGGTTGGAGTCAGTGAACTTTGTAACGTCAGCAACACCACAATTATACAAAAGGATAGTATTGATCCCAAATGTTACTTTATTATCTTATCTGAAAGAATAAAATAATCTTAGTGATTTTTTTCAATGTATACACTGTATCGCAACACTTAGTACTCTGATCAGGTATTTTACGGTCATCACTATCATATTCACTGTTACAGTGAAACGCCCAGTATGTTCTGCATCGCTATCTACCCGTCTTCATTAGCCCAGTCGGAGCAAAACAGTAGGACGTTAAACCCTATTTCATTGTTCATTGCGTCGTTATCTGAATTTTTTTCGCGTCAACTCTGCTGGATTCCATTATGCATCATTCATCTACTCCTCGGTGGTCTTATACTATCTCATCACTAATATATTTACGGTTATAGTGATTCGCCCAGTTGGTAGTACCATTTGTAGTGCGAGTGTCATGGGGCAACAGACAGTACAAATTGCCTGTCAACTCTGACTAAACAGGCAGAATTGACAGGCAGGTTTCGTGATCGTCCCATTTCTGATTCTCTCGTTCACAAGAATTTGCTCCAAGTAATGACCTCTAATGCCAGGAAGTTGACTCAAATTTTCAAAATTTTCTCAGGGGGAGACTCAATAACAATCATAGTATGACATGAACTTTATGTCAACTTCCATAAAACTGCTTTGCCGCGAGAAAACGATCAGTGAACAACTTTATGTTCTTCATTGACGCTCAGTGATATTGCCAGTAATTTGTTTGACATTAATTCATCGTGGGTTGCGATTGTGGATAGCCCCCTAGATTTGGACCTCCCCCTTCTAACTCGTATTCACAGTTTCTAGATCGATCCGCTACTGATATTGAGGCCCAACAGAAGGGTCCTTATCACATATGGTATGGTGTACCGGAAACAAGTTCGACTCCCCCAAGAAAATCCCCGTGGTTTCCAGCGAGCTTCGTCGAGTTGCGGTCTCGAATGATTGATTCGGGTCAAAAACAGGGATAGAGTTAACCCGGAAACGAAAGTTAGCAGAATGCTGAATATCCACAAATCTATAGCCTCTATGGCGTTCGCAAGGTTTGTAAAAAAATTTAAGTTTCGTGAAATTCGGACAACAACTCAGACATACAGGCTCCTATTTATACATTTTACGTAAAATCAAGGGCCACAATTCTACAATTATGTATCTAATTATCCCGAAAATAAATATACACCCTGTCTAGTCATAAGTAATGCCATGAAAAATGTGACCTCTATCATGCTAACAAGTAGTTCTCACAAACAATATGCATAGCTTAAAAAATGTTAATTAGATTTTATGGATCAAAACTCTGGCCGCGTTTGTGATGACAAGCATTGCAAACATTGTGGGCAGGTTTCGACAAAAAAGGGGCATAACTCTAAAGTTGGAAATAGACCTATTTAATTTGTTGAAATATTTAATTGTACAATGGATTTTATTGAATCGGGGGTTTTCAACACACAGGAGGAAAACGCCCCTTTTTTCGAAAGCACACGCAGTAATTCGTCCAGTGAGAATGGTGATCAGCTACGTTCTAAGGGAGCTTACTCTAGTAAATGACTTCTCCTTTCTGACTACAGAGTAAGGCTCCCAATACTTTCCCCGAAGACTTCAATGTTCATGCTATGTCCTGTATCTGTTTCAAACAGTCGTAGAGTATAAACTTTACATGAGTGACCAAAATATTAAAAGGGGGTGTCCGACTCAACATTTTTATTGTTCGAGGTCTAATGAACCTACATTTGAAAATCTTTTTTTTTTCATACGCCATAGTAATATTCACCAACAGCATTCTAGAAAAATATATAAATACAGATAACTGAACCTTACCACTCGTTATAGCATGTTAACTGATTCGACATTAGGGGTGGAGGTTAATACGGGTCGATTCCATCTTGTTTTGAGATACAGTATTTTTTTATATCTATGCTCCTAGAAAAAGTTGTCTAAATTACTTTCGGGTTTCATGTTAATGATGATTTTAACAATAATGATCTTCCATACAAATGATTGATCATTCATGGGTGAGAGACTATTCTGCAAATTCCATAAACGAAGCCTGAGCATCGAAGGATTTTAAGCCAGAGAATCCGTCTGTGTATTAAACAGCAGGTACAGGGGCGTACATAACGATTTTGTTTGGGGGGGAGGGGGGTGTTTAGCCAAAATGCGACCGACTGATGCCCATACCCCTAGTACGAGTGACGCAGTCAGGAGCCGAACACAACAGGTGCCAGTTTTGTTGGGGCCATGTGCATTAGCGGATATAGATAGGGGTGGGGGGTCCAATCTAGGGCGCCACCCCAGCAACAATCCCACCCCACAATGAATGTCAACAAAATACTGGCTATAACATTAAGCGTCCCGGTAGAACATAGATGGTATTGTATAATTATATAGTTGTTTGCCGATCGTTGTCTCGCTGGAAAGCAGTTTTATTTAAGTTGACATAAAGTTTATTTCATATATGATTGTGCCTATAAAACTGAGCAACCTGAGAAAAATTTGAAAAATTGAGTCAATATCTTGGCATTTGAGGTCATTGCTGGGAGAAATTCATGTGGACGAGAGGACCAGAAATGTGAGTCAATTAGACAAAATCTCGAGATCTGCCCCTGTCAATTCCGCCTGTTTTGCAAGAGTTGACATAACTTTTGTATAGTCTGACGCCCCACGACCCACACACCAGTGCCAGTGGTACTACTAAAATAACTAGGCAGTTCAGTATAACCGTGAATATGATAGTGCTGAGACAGTATAAGACAACAGAGGAGTGGAAGAATGATGCTATAATGGAATCGAGCGCCGCAGGCGCGAAAAAAATTCAGATGTGTAACCGAGCTTTTAATTTTTGGGACTGAGCCTGACAATTTTAGTCAATGTCATGGCAAATGAATCCAAATTCTCGTTAACGAGAGGATAAGAAATGGGACAGAATCTTGAGGCCTATCTGTCAATGTCGCCTGTTTTGTGAGTACAGTCTTTTGACCCACGACTCACTCACTAGTGGTACTACTAACTGCGCGATTCACTGTAACTCTGAATATAATAGTGATGAGATAGTATAAGACAGAGAAGGAGTTGAAGAATGATGGCATAATGAAATTGAGCGCCGATATGTAACTGAGCTTTTAATTTTTGAGGACTGGGCCTGAGGGAACTTTACCTCAATGGGGCGCTTACTTCGTCTCTGAAATGCCCTGGACTTTGGGGAGAGATTTTGCAGAATTCTGATGGTCAGAAAACATCCCATTAATTCATTTAGTCTGAGACCGACTGCGGTGATAAGTCGACAAGGTTATTTTATACTAAAGTTTTGCGTGGAGAGTGACGAGAGTGCTCATATCTTACGACCGACTGCACTGATTTTGCGACCAACTAGTATTTGGGATCTATTCTGGCATTATTTGTTTACCTCATTAATTCCTTAAGACGGCGATGCATAATTGTGAGACCGACTGCAGTGACTGCACTTATTTTGAGACCGACTATTTTTCTCCCTGGGGGAAATTTTGTTCTTAGACCTACATACTCACAACAGAATAAGAGTGAAACACATTAAGTTGAAAAGGTTATTTTATACTAAAATTTTGCGTGAGTAGCGTGACGTGTGCAGTGAGCACTTATTTTGATACTGACTGCTCTTATTTTGCGACCGACTATTTTTTTTCCTGGGGGGTGTACCCCCCCACCCACACCCCACATCCCACATCCCACATTTACTCCCATGAAGACGTATGACATAATATTATACTAGTGTTGTTTATATGAATATGACTATAATAGTCATATAACAAGTGATGAATTATATAACAAACAAAACTTTAAGACATCGGGCACGTTCGAAGTAGACGGCATGCAAACTTTGAGACAAATCTTACAAGCCATCGCCTTGGTATCAATGTTCAAACTTTCAATTTACGAGAACTCTGATCAAAATGCATTACTCTAGAAGGCCAGTGTTTGGACTTTCGATAATTGAGTCATTTCAAATATGATATTAATTTTCTTGTTGAGAGTGCTAATACCTCTTCAACCTATTTGTCTTTCTCTATTTGTGAACTTTAATTTTGATCACCCTGTAGACTATAGGATCGATGGTAGTATTGTTTATTTTAGGTAAGTTTTATAATCACCATGGAATTTTCCCAGCTCGGCTAATGCAATAAGTTAATAAAGACTGTGCATTATGAAGAAATCTTGTCAATTAAAAGATCAAAGCAAACTAGTTTCAAATAATATATTATAAAACATGACTCACATATTAGGCCTGTATTGCATTCATGCCAAACGTCACATATTTTATACTGGTAGACGTATGGTTAACACCCCTATTTGAATATAGTGCTAGTGTTTGATCAGATATGTTACGTTCTGGAAGGGATCGACATACCAAATAGTGTAAACATCTGGTATATCAAAGTTGTGGACCCCCTAGAGGCCACAATTTTGATCTGATTTTGATGAAACTTGAAATGCAAGTTTATAACCTAAAGATCTCGGTTCCGTTCAATATAAGCGCATATCGGATCGTAACTTCCTGAATTAAGACCTCTGATTGTACGCAAAATCGCGTTTTTAGCGTGTGGTCCCTCTAGAGGTCACAATTATTATCTGCCTCGAGAAAACACTGAACCAGCAAAGACGGATCAAAACTGAAGTTTGAGTAGTAGTAGTAGTAGTAGTAGTAGTTGAAGTATTTTATTAGCGTCCCACCAGTTAAAAAAAGTACATTTTCAAAAATAAGATATACAAAGTATTAAAAAAAACTGTAATTTATTAATAATTATGAGAGACAATATGCACATTATATAAAACAGACATACTGTTAATCCAACCCTGGGCAGTTCGGGTAGTTGAACCTGTAGTTGAAATGCACTTTTTCATAGGATATTCCCTAACTGGGCGTCTGTTTGCCTACTGATCCATCCAACTCAAAATTATTAATATTCACGAACAGCAAGCAGAAAAGAAGAAGAGCATTTAGTATAAATAACTTGTATAATTAGTTGACCGACTCCATATGAAGCAGGAACAGAAATAGAAAACAAAAACGCTTTATGTAGCTGGATTTCTTGATAATATTGTGTTTATTAAGCCATCATACATCCGTTATGAATGCACATTACTGTTTAGAATCAGTACCAATGTCCTTTGATCTGTTGGTATTTTGGTAAGGTGGGGATGACTGGATCATGGCTGGATTATCGTAGGCTCCTGGTTGTCCTGTGAGACAGACAAAAACGAAAATATACTAAAATCATTTATGTCTTAACTACAACATTTTGAACAACATCTTACAAGTTTTAAATTGGATGAATCTTTGATCATGAACAATGTTACACCTAGCAGCATTCTAGTAAAACATATAAATACACAGTAGCGGATTATCAGTGAGGCTGATGAGGCTGCAGCCTCAGGCCCAAAGATTTTGTAAAAAAAAAATTTTTTTAGACTTGTCTGATACGATGAAAAACGCATAGACAATGAATGTTAGGGGGGTTGGGTTTAGGCCCAACGAGAATCAACATAGGCCGTGACCCGAAATTAATTAGGCCCACGCCATTTTAAATAGGCCCTATTTAAAAACTAAATAGGCCCTCCAGCAACTGCAGCCTCAGGCCTTGGTGGAGCTTAATCCGCCACTGTAAATACAGATAACTAATCCTTATCAATCGTTATAGCATATTTTATTGGCTCGACCTCTTTGATTTGGGCCAACAATACAAATGTCGATTCCATTAATTTGCTTTTTGTGTTGATTTGTTTTGTGGGATCAGATCAATCCAATCAAATGCTTGATTTTGACCTAAACCATAAAGTGCCACACTAATTGCAGAAGATTATACAGATCTATTTTTATTATCCATATTAAACCATACTAAAGTACACCCGCACACGAGTCAACTTCTATGAGAAACTTTTGTTGGACGTGCCAATCGGTAAGAGAGAGAGAGAGAGAGAGAGAGAAAGAGAGAGAGAGCAATGGGGTTTAACGTCCACTCGACACAAACTAGGTCATTTCGGGACTAACATATGTTTTTGATTTTATTTCAATAATTCGCTTGCGCGTAGGGGTCTTTAGCAATGGGAGGAAACCAGATGACCCGGAGAAAACCCACGAGGTTGGACAGGCGACCCTACTCCTTGTCACGTACAATCGGGGATTCGAAACCACGCTAGTTGACTCAATGCCAGGTCTTATGATACAGCACGCACGTGCTAACCATCCAACCGTCTGAAGCTTCGCCGGATTATAGTTGACGTTTGGTGGACCTAAGAAATATCAAACTCAAATTATGAAAATAATTATTTTTTTTAAATATCTCTATGGAAATCTTTTCAATTTTAGATAGTAGTTATATGAACCGCAGAAATATTTAATGTATGCTTGTTATTTAAAAATAAAAAAAGATTCTGTATTTTTCCGTGGTAGGTAGAAATATCACACTTTCCGATAAGAATAATTTCTGTCGGTCGATAAGATGGCCTGTTCATACTCGATCGAACACAACATTATGAGAGCGAGCTTACCTTTGGGTGGTTGAATGTAGGAGACGTTGCTGGTGGTGGCTGTAGGGGTGGCCGTGGTTCCTGTGGATTTTTTACAAGATCTACAACAACTACAAAAACAGCCGATTACCAATATAATCATACCTACTGTACCACCGACGATATATCCAATAGTCCTGAGATTTATAAAATAATACAAAGAGGTTAATATGTGAGATTAATAACATAATGCAGAAAGAGGTTAATACCTGAAGTTAATAACATAATACAGAAAAAGTTTACTACCTGGGGTTTATAAAATAATAAACCAAGAAGTGAGATTACTATTATAAAATAATACAGACAGCTCTTAAAACCCGAGGTTACTGAAATAACACAGAAAGATGCCAGTGATTTATAAAATAATCAACAAAGAAGTGGTGTTAAAACTTGAGGTTTCTAAAATATAATACAGAAAGAGGATTAAAATACCCGATGTTCATGAATTAATAAATAAAGAAATGGGGTTAATACCTGAGTTTTATAAAATAATACAGACGGGGGTTAATACTTGAGTTTTACAAAACAATACAGAAAGGGGTTAATACATGAGTTTTATAAAATAATTCAATACCGAGGGTTAATAAAGGGGTTAATACAATAATACAGAGAGGTTAATATCGGAGGTTTATACAATAATTAATCTGATTAACATACAGATCTATATTTCGTTTCGTTTTTTTTATACTTTCGATGGCCTCCACTACATGAAGATCTAAGCGGTTGTAGTTGGAGTGGCCATACGAGCGGCTTTTGGTCCTGTGGCGTCAGGCATTTGATTAACCAATCAGTGTTGATGTTTCTAGTGGGTATTTGGAAATATAACTTTTGATTTGTATTCGCTGCGAATGTCTACCCACAGTTCCGTGCACCACACGCCGAGAAATAATACTAAATGAAATAAAATGGGGTTTAACGTCCAACTGTTCTGCTCCGACTGGGCTAATGAAGACGGGCATCCGCATACGCCATACAGTGTGCTGTGAGGGAAATTTGGCCCGGACAGCGGCGCTACGGCCTACTGTTATATCGGATTGCAACTATCAGGTGATCTTTTACGTCCACGCCAATATGTACACTAGAACTCAGTTTTTTGTAACATCCGAACGACTAGACAGCTGTCGTTGTCAGGCCCTCTGTCCTGCACCACTGACATAGGGCCTCGTCTTACTCACTGAGCCATCATGGCTCTGATTTCATAATTAAAATCCTTTCAACACCAAAGATACATAAGGCAGATAATAAATGTTTTGTCATGTTCATCCGACTATATATAATACATGTTAGAGTCTAGACTCTACTAGACTCGAGACGCCTGGAGCTGAATATTAAATGTTAGTATAGGGCAGAACACGTAATCAGAATTTAGTGTGTTGTAAATGTTTTCATTACTGACAAAAAGAAAAAATATGCGACAACCCTTGTTGACTGCACGGACGACTTAGCTTCTGTGGGCGTATCCTTAATGGTTAAACTCAACAGCATGGTCATGGAAAACATCTTGTCTGCTTAAATTGCGGTGTTGTTCAGGTTCAGGACATAATCGCCATCATCATCATCATCACCATCATCGTCATGGTGATCTCCAGATTCAGATTCATCATCCTGCGTCTGTGGTTGTGCCCCCTCCCCCACCACCATCACCAATGTGTCTACCACGTGAGGAGGACTGTGAATTGGCCTAGTTCCCAATACCTAATCCAGTATATTCCACTCCGCGTCATTAAATATATTTCGACCAGAGGTGCCAGATTTGTTGAGTTATTTTCTTTTTTTGGCCCAATCTTGCTTAAGTCTTTTGCAGCTTATTCCGGCACTGATCTTCCGTCCTCTGATACCCCTGGGCTGCCAGAAGATCAGCCAGCCTTCTGTATATTGTCTGGTTGCGATGCGAGGCCTGCAGCTGCACCTCTACGTCGTCATCTCGTCAAAGTTGGAGAAGGAGAAGCCTCTCCGCCTTACCCCAAACCGTACCGAGGTTGTTTGCCATAAACACCAGTTTCATAAACACACGATTTCCCTCCCATGTGATAAAATGGAAGTAGAAGTGAACGTGCGCGCAAAGTTATTCGGTTCCGGTACACCCGTTGATCTGAATCAAGCGCGCCACTCTCAAATCGTGACTGCCAATAACCCGATTCGAAACAGTTGTTCCAGATTGAATTCGGAAAATAATCCTTATTTCAGATTCCGTTCGGATTTTAGCGAATTGATTGTGACGCCTAAATCCGGAAAAAGACTTTATTCTGAATTCAATTCAGATTAAACCCCCAGTGTGAATGCATCTCTAGTAAAGACAAGTAAAACGAAATTTTGAACTATAAAAAAACGAAACGAAATAGGATCTGAATAACAGACCTGGAATTTATAAACTAATACAGAACGGGGTTAATACCTGATGATTATTTAATAATAAACAAAGCAAGGCGGGGGGATATCTGAGGTTTATAAAATAACACAGAAAGATGCCTGGGGTGTATAAAATAATAAACAAAGCAGGGAAGGGGTAATACAGAAAGAGACACGGGATTTCTAAAATGATACAAAAAGAGATTAATATCTGAGACTAATAAATTAATACAGAAAGTGGTTAATATGGGAGATTTATAAAATAATACAGAAAGAGGATTTGAATATATCAGGTTAAGGAAATATTACAGAAAGGTTAATATCTGCAGAAGTTTTTAAAATAAAATAAGGGGCTGGGGATGATACATGTTTTTAAAATAATAAAAAAAAGTGGTTAATACCCAAAGTATATAAAATCATACAAAAATGACGGCAGCTAATATCGTGTAGATGTGTGGGTCTTTTTTTTATTTATGCTCTACCTCAATGGAAGAAAAACGACATTTTTTCACCAAATATACTTTAAAAGAATTAAGATAATGAGTATCTCACATCATATATTGTGGATGAAATAATTAATTTAATTTTTTTCCTTTTGTCCATGTTTGTGTATTCAATAGTGATTGGTGTTATAATTAGTCACGCTTTTACACCAGTAGTGAAATCTTTTACAGCTAGCTACACGCCTGCTAATTAATGACAACAGTATAATTTATAACCATTTTCTATACATACTAAATATTAATTTATAATAATGGCCACTTATATGATTTAATGACAAAATCTGTCATTACTGAAAGGCCCAGGTTCATAAGTAAATGGTATCAGCTTACCAGTTTGGTCCAGTGTAGACTGGTATGGTTCGGAATTTTGCACGACAAAGAACATCTGAAATAGTTGAACCATATTTATTCACGGGATACCGAAACAAACCAATGGCTTATATAAGTCGGTTTCCCAAAAAGCAAGATACATAAATGATATAAACATATATTATTATCAATATACATGTATATGGGGTTAGATTACAAATATAATTAGATTTGAGAAAGATTATAATCAAGTTTTAGCTAGCATCAGGACCAAGAAAGGGTCGATACTCGACTGCTGAGTTTAAATTCGTTACTTCAAAATCTTGGGCGGCTATTGTTACTTGTAACCGATGTGTGGTGGTCGGAATCTAGTGTACAAAGGACTCCAATAAAACTGTAAGATCCGTAATAAAATTAGAATAAACTATATCGAAACACTAGTAGACAGGGTGATAACAAAAAACTCATTATTTGGAATTGATAGTTATTAATTATTAAAAGTCAAAGCGCTTGGTTTCGTAAAATCATGAACAGCATATACAAATTTTTTACTTAGTTGATTTGTCGGAACTGGTGTTATAGCCACATCTACCTGATGGATTATTTAATACATGCATTAAGAATTTGGGAAAATTAAAATTACTTTTAGAACATCGCAGTTTACAGCGCATTTATTTATTCCTTTCTGCTACCATAGTAACAATGTGGTGGAACGCTATGGTCTGGGGATGATAGTTTACTTTGAAGCTCTGAAGTGTCGGCGAGGCCTTAATGTGATCTCATAAATTATTCCAAATATCTGATTACAGAAGGCAAGAACAAATTACTATAATCAGTACTATTACATTGTATAGTACGATACTGATTTTCATTTCTAACATGATACGGAATAATATTACGGGTTTTAGGGGGTACAGGTAAACTTAAGTATTGGGGAACGAGCATATTGATCATTTTATAGAATACAACCAATTTGTGTCTGTATCGCCTGGTTTCTAATGAGGTGAAGCCGGTCTCCGAGTATAATTTATCGTGTGCAGTGCCGCGAATTAACTTGTTCTTAGAGCGTCCAAGTGAAGATTTTCCATTTTTTTACTTTCGTACTTTGTGCAATTATCCCATATGACGTCTGCATAATCAAAGTTAGGCAAGATAAACGATTTGTAAATTATTTCCAGGGATTTACGAGAAAGGTTGTATTTCTGACTTCTGAAGCAATCGAATATTTTACTTACTTTCTTGATAATGAAATCGATGTGTGCGGACCAATGACATGAATTTTGAAAAATAAGACCAAGGTATTTATGATTTGGCTCGTCGTGCACCGTTACATCTCCAAAGAGTAAATTGAATTTTGCGGGTTGGAGCTTTCTCGAGAAGGTTATACGGACAGTTTTGTTATGGTTAAACAGGACATTCCAATTGTGAGACCACGAGAATAAAATCTTCCCCAAGTCATAATTAAGAATTTGATTACATGAATTTATTTCTTCAATTATCATGTACATTGACGTATTTTCCGCGAATAGGCGAATGTTGGGTGCAATACCTTTAACGACATCATTTATATATACGAGGAACAGTAAAGGGCCCAGGATTGAACCTTTGGGCACGCCAGATTCCAATATTTGTTCTTCCTATCTTGAGCCTTTGATTAAAACTGACTGTTGGTTAAGTATTGGAGAACGAGCTTATTGACGATTTTATACAAAACAACCAATTTGTGTCTGTATCGCCTGGTTGGTTAGATAATCTTTTATCAAGACAAGAAGCTGACCTCGTATACCGATTGCGTTTAGTTTAAGTATTAATCCTTGGTGCCAAACACGATCAAACGCCTTGCTGATATCACAGAAAACAGACTTAACTTCCTTGCCATCGTCTAATGCTTTTGCAATATAATCGTTAATATCGAACAATTCAAATATGGATAAATCTTGTGGCGTAAATCCGGACTGGAAGGGGTTAAAAGTTTATATTTAAGTCAGAAGTTATAAATATATTTAGAAATGCATTTTTCAAATACTTTTCCAATAGTGCTCAATAAGGAGATAGGTCGTGAATGTCCCCTTGAATAGCAGTGAAAGCGGTTTATTCAATGTATTGCAACAAGTTTTCAGTATTGTATTATTATTTTGTCTATTCCCGAGGCTTTACCAGTATCCAAACTTTTTAAAATAAATACCAACAATAAAAACTAACCCCAAAGACTTCTAGTTTGGGATAGAAATCATACTGTTAATGGATATAAATAGATTATTAACCAATATGTAGCACTAACATTCGATGTCGACTGCAATGTTAAACAAGCGGTTGCCATGCAAGATGCGCCCACATTTTGCAGGAGATGGACAGAGAACAAGCTAAAAAAAAAGAAGCAATTTTTCGTACAATCAGGGACCATAATACAGGAAGTTACAGTCTGACATAATCCAGAAAGTTACTGTTCCATATGTGTAATATCTACAGAAACCTAGATCTTCGGGATATAAACATGTATTTCAAGTTTCATCAAAATCGGATCAAAATTGTGACCTCTGGTGGGTCCACATTCCACAACCTTGTATTACATACTTTTACACTATTCGCGTACAAGGTGCGGCCATTTTGTCGAGCAGTTTCGATCCGATTTTTACAAAATTCAAACTCAACCACCATTATGGTGTAACACTTATAAGCGGTATTTAAACAGTTTTTAAAATTGGACACAATTTTGATCCGATTTTGATGAAACTTACAACACATGTTTATAACCCAAAGATCTTGGTTCCTTTTGATATTCGCGCATGCGTATATCGGATTGTAACTTCCTGAATTATGGCCCTTGATTGTACGAAAAATCGCGTTTTAGCTTGGTCCATCTAGAATTCACAATTTTTATCCGTTACACGATAATGATGGTTGAGTTCGAATTTCGTGAAAGTCAGACCAAAACTGCTGAACAAAATGGCCACCCCTCGAACGCAAATAGTTTAAATATATGGGTATATCAAGGTTGTGGATCCTTTAGAGGACACAATTTTGATCCGATTTTGATTAAACTTATAACACATGTTTATAACCCAAACATCTTGGTTCCTTTTGATATTCGCACATATCGGGACATAACTTCCTGAATTTTGGCCCCTGAATGTACGAAAAATCGCATTTTTAGCTTGTGGTGGCTCTAGAGCTCACCTTTTATCCGATTTAAGAAACCGTTTGAAAATATCACCGTTACACGATAATGATGGTTGAGTGCGAATTTTCGTGAAAATCAGACCAAAACTGCCATGTAGTGCGAGTTATAAATAGACAATTTTTCCCTTAATTTTTTTCTCCCCTCTTCCTGCATTTTTGGGTTGACTTTTTGGTCTAGAATTGGAGAAAAGGGATCAAATTTGCAATTTCATAGCAGTTTTGGGTAATACTGATGATATTACAGCGGAGGGATAGGGGGTGTAAAGTGTCTTTCTGCAGAGCAATCATTGTGTCGGAAGTGAGATTTTCACCCCTGTCAACTTCAAATCCGTGTAGCAAAAAATCTAAATGGTCAACCCCCTACAAAATTATGATGAGGAGATTGCCAAATGTTGTCCCCATTGTGCCTATAAAGATTGGAACCAACGGAATGTTGAGCAAAAAGCTACAGTCTGTGATGTTACAGTCATTTAACATTGAAGTCAATGGGCAAATAATTGCTAGTCTGAGTCCGTATCGAATCGAAACTTCAGGAATTGTGGACCTTGATTCTACGAAAAAAAAACGTTTTTAGCTTGTGGACACTCTGGAGGTCACAATTGTCATCTGATTTTGATGAAACGTGACATTCATGTTTATAACCCAAAGATCTTGGTTCCTTTTAATATTTGCGCATATCGGATCGTAACTTCCTGACTTATGGCCCCTGATTGTACGAAAAATCGCGTTGTTTTTTTTTTGGGGGGGGGGGGGGTTGTTTGTTTGGTTTTTTTTGGTCTTTTTTGCTTGTGGTCCCCCTAGAGGTCACAATTATTATCCGATTTAAAACAAAATATTTGAATATATCACCATTAATCGGACTAAAATTGCCGGACAAAATGGTTGCCATTCGTAGGCAGATAGTGTAAATTATTATATGGTATATCAAGGTTGTGAACCCTCTAGAGGGCAGCCCCTGGTTTTAAAAAGTAATACAAAATTTCAATGATCTATTGTCAATCATTGTATGTGGTTATTGAGCAATGGTTTTTAGTGTTTTGCAACCTGCTTTTCACAGCAATGTTCACACATCCGTGTTTGAATATCAACCAATTGGTTCACACTAGAAAACTGATAAAGGGGTGGGGTTGTTGTGGGTTTTTTAAAAGGTAATACAAAAATCCGATGATCTATTGTCAATCACTGAAGCGTGTGGTTATTGAGCAATGGCTTTTACTGTTTTGCAACCCGCTTTTCAGAGAAGTGTCCACACATTCGTATTTGAATGGTAATCAGTTAGTGCTACAGGGAGGACCCTAGAAAACTGATGAAGGGGTGGGGCTGTTGTTGTTCGTCGTGTTTAATTTCCGCTTCCACTGAGTGTGATATCGCAGACAAGTACGCAAAGGGGTCACTATACTAGGCACCTTATTTATTTTGTTTTCATTAAATGGCACTGTCAAACCTTTTTTATTCATATAAATAAAATACTAATTGTCTACACAACTCCCACCCTGTTTGTTTTTATATAATTAGGACCAATTCTTAGAAGCCGACGACATAAAAAATACCGCAAAACAGTTCACCCACAAACTTTACAGCGCGGCCATAAAATCATAACTATCTATCCCCTCGTGTCGTGGTCGCGTTAGAAAACTCTATATGACTTAACCATACAAATTATGACCTTTATTCGACTATAAATAATTGACCTACATAAGAAAAATACAAACAATCCAAAAATAACGTATTTAGCTTATTTAGAAAACTGCTCAAGTTTTACCGTGAATCAATCCCCGCTTACATACCTTAACTCCTATGTCACCCATCAGGACATCCCACAATTCACTCTGTAAGTGTATTTACTGAGGAAACTTTATGCCTCTCCCAATTATCCAAACGCTTATCACTCAGATC